ACTTTGTTAATTTAAATATTTATTATTACATATTATTTTTACATATTTGGATTGAACGTTCCCTGTCGATCATAGCCAGTAGGGTCTGTTGGGTCCATCTCTAATAATAAGCGAGATACTATTGAAAAACGAAAGAAGGTTTTTTATTAATAAAATAAGATATCTTGTAATTGTTAGAACTCTTTCAGACATTTCTGCCTTTTTCCAGTTACGTAAGGATTTACAGATTTAATTGTAATATATTTTGACAGATCGGACATTGATATGGTCCAAAATGCGTATAGGTATTTTAACTAAATCTCAGTAGAGTAGAAAAATTAAAGGTTATTAGGAATTAAAATATAGTATGGAGAAGAAACTTTGTTCTATTTTAATTCCTATAATATTTAAATTTTCTACTTCTGTGTAACCCATTTTAATAATATAATAATACTGTCAAACAATAACAATATTGTCAAAACTTTACCTATCACTGTTACAGCCTTCCATATAACATTGTCCATGAGTAATTAGGCTTCTCACGGCCTAATTAGTGAGATTTAGTTAAAATACCAATACGCATTTTGGACCATATCAATGTTCAAAATGTCAAACTATATTACAACTAAATCTGTAAATCCTTACGTAATTAAAAAAAGGCAGAAATGCCTGCAATTAAAAGATATCTTATTTTCTTAATAAAAATACTTTCTTTTCGTTTTTTATTGTTAGAGATGGACCCAACAAACCCTATATGTCTATGCTCGACATGGAACGTTATATAACAAAGCCGCGGCCATTTTGTTTGGACTTCATTTGTTTTTTGACTATCATTATCGAAAACTTCATAAAAAATCGTGCAACTTTTGTATTTCACATTTTTTTATAACTTTAAAAACAAAAAGGTTAAAGGGGGATCAAAATATAGTGAATCACCCTGTACATAGAAAGGTATATTTAATACTTTTTAATTTATGTGTTAAACTACATTCATAAATTTAAGAGAATGACTACCTGCGCTGACGCAAATTCAATTACCATACATCATAAATCATTTCTTTCTGAAAACTAATTTATAAAAAAAAGATTGTGATAATAATAAATAGATAAGATTCCTGCAAAATCGGCAATTTCAATAGTTTATGTAAATCAGAAACGTAGATGTGATTGAAAAACAGCTGGAGAGGCATGGGTGTAGCCAAGAATTTTCCCGAGGAGGAGAGAAAAAAATAGGGACAGAAATATACTTGCCTATTTAACTTTATTACCGCAGAATTTTGTTTCACTTCTTAAAACTGTCGAGTATTCATACATTCGTATTGCGAATATTATAGAGATGTTTTATGTTAACATAGGTAATAATATTGATAGCGAAACTGAATTAAATGAATACAATATTTATTTAAAAAAAAATTATTATGTATAGGTGTAAAATATTATTTTGATTTTATTAATTCTGTACTGTTATAATAATTGTAATTAAAGGCATGATTCATCTGAAATAAGTATAATTTCCTGTGTTAGTTAAAAATGTCTGTTCAACACACAATTCAGTGCGCACCTGTGTAAACTATCTTCTCATTTTATGACCTGTGGCAATTCCACGCATGCAACATTTTTCTTAAATCTTTGAAAATATTTAACGATGAATTATTATTACAATTTAATTGTTGTACATTCAAATATTTGAATGAAATAAAGTCTTATCTAAAGAAACAAATAAATAAAGTAGTCTTCCATTTAAAAAAATATAACGTAACATTTAGAAGGCGCATGAGGCATGTTTAATTTTTTTTTTCTTTGGATTTGTGAAGTCCTCCAATGACCATTCAAATTTTATAATAAACTTTTTTTCTAAAGTCAAAAATAAAAAATATATCAGGTTGTTCACTTTCGGTAAGACACCTAGTACATATCTCTAAAACTGACTGATTCTGAATGTAGAATTGACTATTTATACGTAATACAATTGAAATTAATTTCATTATATTAACAAACAACGGTTTTATTGTATTGTCATATCATGCAGAATGGCAAAATAAAGTACTACCTCGGTGGCGGATATCTTTACTATCTGGAGCTCTACCTTATCGACATTCCGGACAGAAGAATGCCAACATGTAAAATGTGTGGACACACGTGGGAAAATAGCCGAGACGAATAAAATTCATTCCATACCCACAAATCATTAAATTTTCTTCGTCGCACTAATTAGAGTCGCATATTTCTGTCCTCTTCTATCCCGTTTCGACGAAAAATGCCTTGGCACGGCCGATAAAAGGGCCGATAGCAAAGTCCTTGTTGAATATCCAATGACCGATATCAGATGCATCAGTATGTCACTGTTATCTTAAGAAGCTGCCACTAAATTAACTTAGATGTCTACTGACAAATTAAATCAATTATTGGACAGTGACTTTATTTTTGCGGTCTGTACTTACGAGGGTTATATTTGAAATACGGAAAAAATATATATTTTTTTGATAACACTTGTAACGTCTTAATAAATGTTACTTTCTATTTATTGTTAATAATGTTAATAAATAATAATGATACTAATAATAGCAATGACAATAATAGTAAGTGTTAATTTCTTAGTAAATGTTATTTATTTATTTTGACTTCAAAGAATGCAACAAAATCGGTAAGCAAGTAGAAGTAGACGACAAAATTAGTAGTTATTTATTTGTAGCGTGGTTTTATTTTATTTTTTCTATTTGTATGGATATTTTACCACACAAGAAGAATATAACAATTAGTTAAATAAACACTAAAAATGCACTTTGATCACTAGCATTTTTCTTCCATAGCTGTAGCATTATGTTGAATTTTATTTTCTTCTACTGTAAAACTCTGTTCTCCACCTCCGTTCTGTTCTCTAGATTAGGCCCCATCCATTCTTTGAAAGTTTCTAAAATTGGAATTACATTTTTTCTTTATTTCTTTGTTTCTTTCTTGTAAATTTGTGAATTTGTAATTTTTTATTTTTGACGATGGTCCTAACAAATTCACGTCATCGATATTGAAGTTGTCAATTACACAGCACCACACAAATAGTAGGTTGAGCCGGGAACCCGACCAATGTGTCCTATAATACTTTGACCCGCTGAATCCGAATCTAAAATCAGAATTTCCGTATCAATTTTCTAAAATCAAGATACTGCTATAGAAACCACTTTTCAAGATGTTAATCCAAATTGAGTAGTCAGTGACAGGAAAAAAATAATCTCATTGCACCGCAACCTCATTACCCGGCATGTGTGAGTGTAGAACCACGAAAATCTGTGAGATCATAGATCTCATACATGAGAAGGGGTCAGAAACTGTATGACTGCGAGTTGACAGACTTCTATAGCCTTTTTTTTCCCTCCTCCCTCCACCTCAGTTTCGCGGTCGCGGAACTACCTTTTCGGCATTGCTATCTGATCCACTACCGATACGGATTAGCCTGCATCTAAATAAATACATATGTAGATCAGATAGCCAAATACTTAAATAAATTTATAGTACAGCCAAGTACTATACTATGCTAAATACAACAGATTCTACTACTAAGACCTAGAACTACATACAATTTGGTCCGCAGCATCTCTCTTAGCCCCGCACCTGTTGGTTCCCTTCCTCAATCTATTTCGTCTTCATGATTTTCCGTACATACCTCCTCACATATTCCCAATTCTCGCTGCTCCTCAACATCACTTGCGTCATATTAGCGGGATTTATGCCCACTTCGAGCGCGATCTCCAGCTGATGTCTTTCTCTCGTCCGTCTCTGGCAATCAAATATGCTGTGTTCTGCCGTGACCTCAGCTGCCCCACAACTAGTGCATTCTTCGTCTGGTCTCTTCCCAATTTTGTGGGTGTAGTTTCTGAAAATTCCGTGGCCTGTCAGAACATGTGTCAGATAGTGATCTATATCTCCATGTTTTCTCTTCTCCCATACGGCTGCCACCGATATCAATCTTCTTGTCCATGTCCCCTTCGTACTATTTTCCCATTCGTTTTGCCATTTCCTTTCAGTCTCGTCTCTTATCTCCTTCTTATTCCTATCCGTTATATACATCTCTCTTCTTTCCTCTGCTATCAAATTTATCGGCAGCAGTCCTGCCACAACCACTGCTGCCTCATATGAAATGTTCTATAGGCTCTGCACACCCTCAAAGCCATTTTCCTTTGAACACTTTGCAACAGCTTGCGATGAGGCAACCCTCATAGCTTCGGCCCAAACCTCAGCGCCGTACAACATGGTTGCCTGCGCCACGTAGGCAAGCATCATACGTTTACCGCCTCCCGGCCCCCCTATATTTGGCAGTAACCTCGTCAAGGCCATTACCGTTCTATGCGCCTTCATGGCCAGGCTTCTAATATTCGGTCCGAAAGTGACCGAGTTGTCCACGACTAGTCCAAGATAGCTCCCAACATTCTTAGATGATATCGTCACCTCCCTTAACCGTACCTGAAATTCCTTATTCCATCTTGCGAACTTAAGGCATATAGTCTCAGTTTTTTCCGGTGCCAAGGCAAGGCTTTGCGTTCCCATCCAGTGTATTATCTCTTCCAGAGCCTCATTCATAATATGCAACAGTTCTCCGAAGGCCCGATGTCTTCCTATTACAACCAGGTCGTCGGCGTACGTTACCCAGACTTCTATAACCCGATAGACTAATAAACCCGCAACCCCATAACCCTGTATGTGCGAGGAATCACGAAACTTTGAGGAATTGAGCCTATAGTACTGTTGAAACCCTTAACACAGGGCATGCATGCTCCTCTAGACCCATGATCTGGGGCATACATATTTGTCTTACAAAGTCACCTAGGATTTTTCTTTTTGTATTTCCACCATAACACCATAACCATATTAATGTCATAACCCCGTAACCTGTTATTTGAAAATTTTGATTGCAAAAGCTCATGACTGTATAATAGAGGATGTACTATTAAATTCCTCTGTAATGGAGTAATATTAACAATTAAATATTTTTGTAACTCTCCACCAATTTGAGATTTTCCTTTTTTCAGTGCAGTGGAATGCAAAATATCACAGATAACCCAACAACAGACTATCCAATCCACATTCTATTCGACATATTTGGATACAACTATTTGCAGAACAGTACCTGGTTTAACCAAATCCCAAATAGAATTGTGCTACCGACAACCTGATTCCACTTTGGCCGCGATCCAGGGATTAAATCAAGCAGTTAAGGAGTGCCAACATCAGTTTCAAGGACACCGTTGGAATTGTTCCTCACTCTCCACGAGGGGACAGAACCCTTACATTAGTGCCATTTTACAAAAAGGTAAGTAGATAATAATTTTATTCAAAAGTTGAAGAAACGGTTAAAAACAACAGGTGCTACATGAAGCAGCGACTTGCACAGTTGCAATATCCAAACAACAAATATTAAATTTAAACAGAGAAATACGTATTTTGATTTTGTTCAGTTCCCAGTTATAATGGTTTTTAACGCACACTTCTTGTTTACCGCAACACTGACCTCGAAAATCATATGAACATACCATGTGAATATCAGAACACGTATAGTATTGCAGGAAACCACTAGATGATGTCAAAGCTGAGCATGGCAAGAGTTTATCTCACCAATTTTATATTTTTTCCACAGGAGACAAAATGCACAAAGGAATAAAGAAAAAATCTTTGCCAATGTAAATTTGACAGGTTCTCTATGAGTATTGGTTAAGTTTTTACTTTTTTATATTTTTATTAGAGATATTTTGCCCTTCACTGTTTAACAGGAATTACTTGCGGATATTAATGAATAAACTGTGAGCAGAGAAGTGAACAAAAAATTAGTAAACCATAATACAGCACAGCAAAGCTGATGCTTGGCTTTGCATGCAGCACACGTCTGTTTCAACTTCTTACTGACGGCAAGCACAATGGGTAACAAGGGCTGAAAGCTTAGTAGCCAATCACGTGATGTCAATGGCACGTGTTGACGTTAATAATGTTAGAAGCCAAGAAATAATGCTAGTCAATTTAAATATACACTTTAATAGTACATTATACACCAAGGTACAGAAATATGCCATTATAGATGAGGCACCAAGATTAAAATACCGAGCCGCAGGCGAAAGATTTTTAGGTGCCGAAGCTATAATGCCACTCTTCTCTACCGTGGTTTATATAATATTTTTTCCACTACTAGCTACTTCACCTTAAATCGAGTTTCAATAATTGACATGCAGTTTCACGAAATTTGAATAAATACTCGAAAAACGCTGATATCATGTACAAGAATCAAGTGGGTACTCTTTTGTTTGAAATCAAACTTTGTGACATTTCACACAAATAAATTTGCAATTAATTTGACATTTCGCACAAAGAAATTTGCAATTAATTTAATTTAAACCTATAAATCATGGGAAGTGAAAGTGTAATGGGCTGCACACCCCCTGAAGTGAGGAAAATGGCAGAGAATGTTGATAACCAACTCCTGCCAGAAAAGTCCAAACATCTTTACGTAAAAGCATACACAGTTTTTAAAGTTTGGAGTCTTACAAAAAACGTCGTCAATACCTTAGAAAATGTCCTACTAGCATACTTTAAAGAGCACGAGGATAATAAAAAGGCATCCAGTCTATGGTGTACTTTTTCAATGTTAAAGGCAACCCTAAAATTAAAAGAAAATATTTACTTTGGAAGATACTATAAATTAACTGCATACCTAAAGCGAAAGAACACCTCTTACAGACCCAATAAATCGCCTTTGTTTTCAGAAGATGATATTACTAAATTTCTCACTGAAGCACCTGACGCCGCCTTTCTGACAGCAAAGGTAATTTTTTTAGTAAACTTCTAAAAACTCACAAATTCCATACTCTAAGGTAATTCTTATTATTGGGATTGCAGGCGCCTGTAAAACTGATGAACTCTGCAAAATGTGAACAAGTGATGTGGATGTTCGAAGCGATATAATTATAATAAAAATACCTACCAGTAAGAATGGTTCAGCCAGAAAATTTGTCGTGATGAAACCCCTGTGGATTGAGGTGGTAAAAAAGTACTTGGGGAAAAGGCCTACAGCAGATTTACAACGATTATTTATTGGCTCCCGAAATGGGGTGTCAACACGGCAAAGTATGGAGCTCAACAAAATTAGCAATATGTCCAAAATGAACGCAAAGTTCTTGAAACTCCAAAATTATGAGAATTACACCGGTCATGCCCTTCGCAGAACTTCAACTACCATATTGGCTGAAAATGGGGGCGATATATTGTCCTTAAAGCGTCACGGTGGGTGGCGATCCTCAGGGGTAGCAGAAGGATACATTGAAGAATCAATAGCCGATAAGAGACGCATTGCCGAAATAGTGCAAGGTGTTCAAACGTCGTCGTCATTTCTTGTCGCTCCTTCTGCCTCTGCAACTATTACTAGTGCCACTGTTGAGTGTGATGTTTCATCCAATTCGCCCACTCCGAGTACAATTCCAAGCACTTCGTTTTCTCCAAGACACTCTATGCCCGGAAATTAAGCTGATAATTCTACTGGTGTCACTACTACGTCGCTCAACATTGGAAGAGCAGGCATCAATATGACATGCCACAATTGCACAGTTAACTATTATTTGCGATAAGTTCGTGGTACTGATAATTATCTGTTGACATGTTCTGGATATTTTCTATCTATTAAAAACGTGTTTCATAACCTCCACGTTCTGCGTCTTGTGGTTCTGTCATAGATCTAATATAGTATACTAAATATATGGGTTCTGTACTTCTATAACTGTCAAGTGTCAAAATTATTAAGTGTCATTTTCATTATTTACCTTGGTTAATAAATCAAGGTCATCATTATTCACCCAGGTCAAAAAGAAAGTTTACGCGTCAAAGATAGGTCGATAATGGTGGGCTTATAGGCTAGTAGTGGAAAAACATCATTTTCTTTTTATTTTCCATTAAAAATGACATTTGGATATTACTATTTATCTTCTAGAGGTTAATTGTATGTGTTAATATAGTTCACATGACTATAAAATTTTAGGCAGATAATTTACGAAATCGAATATGCTTTCCACTACATTTTATTTTTTATTGTGTAAATATATTAAAATAAGGAAGGTAAAAAGGATAAAATAGATTAATTTTCTACTTCCAAACATGAAAAGTGGTTAACAAATATTGTGATGTGAAAAATATTGGTTCAGTAGAAATTCATATTGAAAAAATAATTTATTAGCCGCCTCCATTATTTATATCTTCTGGTTAGGTATTAATATGACTAGTTAACTCCTATAAGAAATAAACAATTTTCCCATCTTGGTGTAAATCCAAAACCAGGTTGCCAGATTAAATTTTTTATTACTAACTGCTGTCGAAACTGTATTATCATACCATTATATTTTTTTACTATACAGATACTTAAAGATCATTAGCTTGGGTGGTCTGATACGATGTTAATAGACTATTCTGTGAGAAAGTAGAATTTTAACTATATTAATTTATTTTTTGCTTTGAATATAAATGTATTTTATAAAAAGTTTACGTAAAACTGCCATAGAAAGGAAAAATAGGTAACCGCATTCTTTGATTATTACAATGAAAATAACAGTATTATAGTAACACTTGCTGTACAAAAAAAGTCAACAATTCTTCATTCAAGAACGAAGATTAATGTACAATTATTATCTGCATTTTTACTTTTTGGTGACATCTTTTAAACTTCCATAAATCTTTAAAACTTCTGTGACTGACCTACTTTATAATTAAAATATTTAAAGGGTATCGCAAAAGTAACGCAGGAATGGGCGAGTGAAGATTGTGAAAATTCATTACAAGTACGGAGAGTGTGTAGCTGAGACTGTGTAGGACCGCTACGAAACACAACTCTGAAAAGATTAGTTGCCAAATTTGAACAAACAAGTTCGATTACAGACAATAAAAAACAGGCCGAAAATATTGCTACGGTGAGTAATAGTGTAACAGAAATTTCCGTAACCTCAGTGCGCTGTCGGTTACTGCAACTAAACATTTGAAAAAGCACAATGCAGAGGATTTTAGTTAAAGATCTGCATCTACATCTATTCAAGATTCAGCTAACACAGGAATTGAAACCAGACGACCACCTAGTGCACCGGACATTCGTTGATTGGATATTGGACAAGTGGACGGTGATTTTGCTAAGAAAATCTTGGGTATGGGTATGTGAAGAAGCAAAACTGTCGAATTTGGGGCAGAGACAAGCCTCGAAATACTCAATAACGACTACTGCATAAATAACCAAATAGTGTGATGTGGATTTTACCATGGTGGGGGTGATTAGTTAGTTCTTTTTTGAAAATGAGACTGGAAACGCAGTGAGTGTAATGGAGAATGACATCGAAACATGATAATGAACTTTTTGTAGCCTCGTTTGGATGGCATGGACTTGGATGTGATTCCACCAGGATGGTGCACATGAAACTAACCACTTGTTACGGCAGAACTTTAATGGACGACTCATCTCAGGTGAACCACCAAGATCATGCGATCTTACTCCATGTGACTTTTTCTTATGAGGAAAGTCCAAAGTTTATTCTGCACAAATCAATATCATTCCTGAATTATACGCAGAAATTCAGAGAATTATGAACGAAATTCAGCCGCAGGTATGCGAAAACGTGAAACAGAATTTTCTTAAAAGAAGTCGAGTATGCCAAATGAGTCGGGGAGGACATCTGTCCGATATCTTCTTGCATATTTAATGGTGATCTAGTCATTAAAAACGTGTAAAACCTTAGCCAACTTTTTTTCGTTTTTCCTTCGTTTCTTTTAGGAAACCCTTTATATCTATCTATTTTGGCATCACTTAGCGAACTCATTTTTATTTATATTCCTTCGCATATTTAGGGTGTAAGAAGTTGACTGCCATTACTTCAGCATGAGATAGAGTAATCATAAATGAAAAAAAAAGTTGTATATTACAGGGACGTAAGATTAACCGTTTTCAAAATACAGCAAGTATTAATATTGGGGAGTTTCATCACAACGTGACAACAGCGCTTAACCTGCTCTTGCACACCACGTGTTCACGCGACAGACTTGTCCTACGGAAAAAATGTAAACGGCTATTATTGTGAATCATTTAGTAAATTTCAAGACAATTGTTTTCTAGTTTTTAAATAAATAAAATAAAATGTATCGATTTTGTAGTACGAAGATGGTGTTGTGCTTAAATTTTAGCTCGAATGTTAGCAATTATGAATCTTTTACAACAGGAACTTAACTTTTAATCAAATTACGTATTTGAAAAATGTGTAATTAAAGTACCCAAAGATTAACGTCGTCCAAATAATCATA